ACTGCCATCTCCTCCAAAACTGAGCATTAGCAGTCATTTCTCAGAGACAACTCTGCACTCAGAAGTGTTTACAAACACTAAAATCAAACAGATTTGTTTCTAATAAAAGCATTCTGTTGGAAGAATTTCAGTTTGTCTGACTGTAAATCTGTTAGTTAAATAATTAGTTAGATAAACCGATTACATTTTTCCATCTAAAATCTGGTACAAACCATCTAGAAATTGTTTGGATGAATGACTCTTCCATGGATCACATCAAATTTAAGTAAATTACTTTTACATTAATTTTTTTTAAGATTGTCTGAGCCCATAGAGTTGTGTGGTCATATTAGTATTGGAAAAATAAAATTATAATTGATTTGGGATTAGAAAAGCAAGGCTTACTCCAAGAGCTTTAAACTTCACCTTTTTGGATAAAAATGTACTAAATCTCTAAAACAGCCATTGAAATCTCCCCAGGGATGAGTTACAAAAATGTTTCCTTAGAAAATTTTTAGAAAGAACCAATGTGACAAAATCTAGTAGAATTCAACACCTAAAGCTCTTAGCATCTTTTTTCTGGGTATGGATTAATGTTTTGACGTGGAAAAAAAAATTCTTAAAAAGAATTTTCAGGTCAAGACCCTTTCTTTTGTGTTGTTCCTTCCCTGTACACATCTTTGACCATTCCCTAAGGAGTAAGTTGTCAGTGTGGGGAAAAAGGAAAGGGCTATAATAATCTTCATGGTATGGATGGGAACACTAGGACGCAGGTTTGTGTCACAAGCTGTTACTAGAGTTGTGACTCCTCCAGTTACTGAGTCTCTCTGAGCAGCTGCCCCCTGCCTCCCCAATAACCTATCTTATGTAGGTTTTATTTGTGAGCACCCAGCAGATGGGCTTCTTGTTGGCTCTCTGACACCACATTTAAGAGGAACCAAGTGCTACACAAAGACATAACAAAAAACAGTGATCAGTCATTTGCTGATTTCAGTAGAGGTGAACTTCTTCCCTTTGACTGGTTGCGGGGAGGAAGGAGGGCAAGAACTGGTGCCAGAGTTATGGACTGACTTGTGGAATCTTCCCAGCAGGGAGCACTGGGAAAGGAAGGACCAGCATAAATCTCCTGGAGAGAGAAACTGGAATCTCTGAACGCAGCTTCAAACTGAAATGACTTTGTATTCCTGCTCCCCTTACAATTAGGCAGACAGACTCTCGGGACCTATATTTACAGTCTCAAAGTCATTGCAAATATAATTTACAGTTCCTTACATGGAAAGTAGTCTTGGCATAAATCAACCTCCTTTGCACAAATGGCTGATAAAATTAATTTCTTATTAGCTCCTCTTTTATTTAGCTCAGCACAATATGTCCCTGTTCTACTCTCCATTAGCTCATCTCTTAGCATCTATTTTCCATCCCTGCTATTCATAATATTTTCTCATCCTTTTTACATATTTTTCTCACCTATTTTCACTTTTTTTTTTTCAATAATAAAGATCACCAGGCAAAATATTAATTATTTATATCTTATTGCCTCTAACTGTTGCTTTCTCTCTGACTCAGAGCCGTGACTTTTGAGTTTATTTTATTACATATCAGCAACATCTCTATACCTAGGAAACAAGAATAATTCTCAGTAGTTTTGAGCACAATTTAAAGCAAATGACAGAAAACTGATACCGAGTGCTGCATGTCACCTGGCTCCCTGATGCAGGGATTTAGGAGATCGCGTTATGCTACTTTGCCTATGACATGTATACATCTTTACAGCACTGGGAAATGGGACAATCCTGCAGTAACACAACTTCAGTATAGGAATGGATGTGGCATCTTGCATTATTCCGCTGTAATATCAACAGGTTGAACTTGGATGTTTCAAGCACAAAACTTTATGAATAGAGAATCTTGCAGTACCACTTACTTCCCATTTTCTTCTTTGTGGCCATTGCAAGGGAAGTGACTGAGTATAATCTAAAGGAGCCAGGCAGGGATCTATCACTCCACATGCTTTAGGAGAAACAGAGAGAAAGCAGCCTCAGCTGCTCCTGAAATAAAGTACTATTTAATGGGAAACAGGAATAATTGTGGCATAATTGAGCTGCTAACTGGATTTTCGATCGCATTGCTGATGTATGATAACTTTGATGAACATGATGAATGCTAAACACTTTTCAGATTTGCCCTTGTTCAAAAAATGAGTGTTTTCCAAAGTACATTCCAAGCTATGCTTCAAGCCAAGAAAGTCTAGTCTAATAGTTTGACTGCTGCTTCTCCTCTCCATCCTCTCCATCTATTCAGATGTCAGCACATCTGAATCCAAATCACAGTCTAGCTACTAGATCTCTTGCTTTTTGCTGCAGCTGGAACCCAAATGTAGCCTCTGATTGGTAAACACTCATGAATTGCTTCCCAGCAACCTTCAGAAATGGCATTTTTCAGAAAGTTTCTAGGACTTAAGAGGTCAGAAAGGACAAAAAAAGTAAAGGAAGAGGAAGCAAAATCCACCAGGATTCAATCTCAGAAACAGCAGTGGTCTATGAAGATTTCCTTGCTTAGCTGCTCAGTTACACAGCTGTTTTAATTGGCTACAGAATATTTTTTCTCTTCCTATTTTATGATCCCTTACCCTGATTGAGGGAGCAGAACTCCTGGTTTGGAGATGCTCCTGAAAATTCTGGGTATCCCACACTTGAAGAGGCAGTTCTGTCAAGTGTTCTTAATAGCAAGACATTGCTAGCTGCTCCTCAGAAAGCAAACAGAAGGAAGCAGTTTTCTTTTAAAATAAAAAAAAAATGTTTAGGCAGGAAGAGTAAAAGGTTAAATGGACACAAAGAGTGCAAGTTCATGTTCTGTTTTTCTAAAGGTTCATCTGCATATTGTGATCCAAAGGACTTTCTTTATAGCATCCAATTATAATAATGATAATAGTATAACTGTGACAGCACAGACTGCACAATTTCTCCCAGTCTCTGAACAAATTTTCTTATCTGAATCTGTGATGCTTTTCCCAAGTATATTTTTAACACTGCTCAAACTGGTAAGTTTAAAACACAATCAAGCATCTCTATCCAGAATCCATTCACACCTCTGGATCCCCATGAAAGCACACTCTACTAGCAGAAATGTGAATAGCTTCCATTCACCCTCTAAGGAAAAGCTGAATTAGATCCACCTACCAGTTTACATTTAATGATTTTTTTAAATGAGTTATCAAAAATTCTAGCTCTCACCATTTTGCTGTTTTCACAGATAACAGCTGAGGACTTAGCTGTACAGTTTGTATAATAAGAGTTAAACTCATCTAATACATTCTAAATAGGAAGGTTCTTTGAATCTATGTCACAGACACACTGTCATTACCCTTTTATCGCCTGACATGTAATTATCCTTATAGTGCCAAAGGAATCGAGCAGCTGCTTATTTTAGGAGGATGCTTTTAAAAAGAATCTTTCATTCATTTGAGGATGTATAATAGCAACAGTCCAAGAATACAGTATTTCCTACAGAACAGAGCTACAGAAGCAGAACTGTTAAGTTCTTGACCCATTACTCTAGATACATTTGGTATGAAAATGGAATTATATGCTACATTTGCAGATTACTAAATGGGTTGTATCAGCGGGCCTTTATTTTCCCAGCATGTTTCTACAGTTAAATTAGTATAGAGACTTATTCAGTTTTCCCCCATTTAAGTTGACACAGATTGGCTTTGTCTCAGAGTTCTATCTGACTCATCTCTGGCCTGATAAGACAAGTGCTGAAGATAACTCTGAAGTACCAGCTAGCTGGTAAGAGAATGTATGCACAGTTAGTGGGGCAGGAATTGATTCCTCAGGCTTTACTGTCCACATGTCTGCAGTCACACAGGGCAAATCACTCAGTACTTCAGTTTCTCCAAAATGCAGTTATCTTGTATATATCAAGGTCCTCCACTGATTCATCAAGTTCAGTTGTGTTATCACAGTGCTAAGTCTGTTATCACAGTGTTGATTGAGGTAAACTATTTTACCCAAGCAGTACATAACAAATAAAGGCAATAGAGAAAGAGGAGGAGAAAGATAGAAAAATCACAATTATTTTTTCTAAATGGACACTAAAAGACTAAGACTAAATTGCATCCCCAAGCCAACATCCCATGGAGCTGCTCCAGAACCAGGAATTAGCTTTGCAGTTGCCCCGAGGTTCAGGGCTCCCAACACACTGCCACTCCTCTTTGCAAATACAGCCTTAAGTGAAATATTTCTGTGTAGATCTGAACAAGCAACACGACCCCTCAGCAGCACAGAACAGATGGGAGGAAGGGAGATCCATGGCAACATTCACCCACATCCCCCTGTCTTGTGCACACAATGTGTTCTGACGATTGTAATGGTGGATGTCACCAGTCCTTGGGAGAAATAATCTTTCTTACACAACTTTTTGTTGATCTCAAAAGAACTACTCTACTCTGCTAAGCAACAGAATTTCTTCTGCTATTGTCCCACTATCTCAATGAACAACAAAGAATTCTATGTCCATTTTGAATTCACCAATTGTTGCTTTTCCTATCCAACCACTTTTCCCATTTGCAGCCTCACAGAAACTCATTCCATCAGAAACTCATCGCCCATGGTGCAAGTAAGCTTGCTGCTTGCTTATCTAGAGTCATAGAACAATTTAAGTTGAAAGAGATGTCTGAGGGATATCTAATACAACTTCAAAAGTAAATCAGCCTATTCAGGCTCTTTACTGGCCAAGTTTTAAAATTTCCAAGGACAGAGATTCTTCAGCCTCTCTGGGCATCTGCTCAGTGCTCAAGGAAACTTGAATGAGAAATGAGAAGATAATGAATGACACTTCTAAAATGTGGGAAGCAGCACAACATATGGCTTCACAAAAAAAATCATTAACTGCTAGCACTATCTGAAGGGCAGCTCCTAGCACAGTGCAGCATCCACTTTCACTGCCCACAGGATGGGATAGACATAAGCCCTTTTCCCCCAGTGACTTGGCTTTGTTTCTGTGTATCTGGTATGCAGGCGAGGAGTTCTGCACCTGCATGAAAGCCGTGGAATCCACGACCTTGGCTTGCCTCGCTGGCAACTTTCCCTCTGCCTCTTGGTGGTGGTAATCATTCTTTTCTTTAGTCTGTGGAAAGGCGTGAAGACTTCAGGAAAGGTAGAGATAATATTGTCCTTCTATCTCAACTACATTCTTTGTCTCCTTTAAGAAGTGTCCTTAATTTAGGAACAAAAGACTAAATCACTGCATCTGAGGGATCCTCAGGGACTAAACCATGTGAGAGGCCTTCATATATGTGCAGTAGAAGCACACAGTCTAGATTCAGCCTTTATTTTATCTACAGATTCTGCTTGCATGATGTTTTGACTGGAAATTTTACTAGCATATTTTCAATTCTGCATTGGTGGTCTCAACCCAGAAAATACCTTGAAAGACACAGATGCTTTAAATTGTCTGATGTGCATCTCATTCTTAGCCAAATGTGCTAACATTTTCATGCTTTGTTGTTACGTAAAATGCCATGAGAAGAAAAATAAATGCCTAATCTGTAGTTTCTCTGATATCCCTTCAGAAAACACCTCACCAGAAATTCTGGGGTTAGATTTTCATGAAAGTATCACCCAACAACATCAGGCAGTGATGGCAGGCCCTTCGTTATTCTTTACATGTTTCCTCCAAGGCATACTATAAAGAGCTTCTCCATAGAACTGAATGGACAAAATCAAGAAAGTATCAGCTGCATTTTTCACACATTCTTAAATCTTCTGTAACAGCTTATTAACCTTTAGGATCTCTGTTGTCTGCAGGTTGTATGGATAACAGCCACTTTGCCTTATGTTGTATTATTTGTCTTATTAATACATGGAATAACCCTGCCTGGTGCATACAATGGAATAAATGCATATCTGCATATAGATTTCAGAAGATTAAAAGAAGCCACAGTAAGTGTACTCTTCTGCTCTCATTCTTTATTATTAAACCTGTTACTGCCGTTACTAAACTGAAATTATTAGATCTAAATTCTGGAAATTATACAGCCTCATTTCTGCTTTTGAATAAGCATTACCACTGTTTCCAGTAGTCTGAATTTCCAGCATCCTCCATGACAGGAGTACCTTAGCCTGAATTCAAACTGAGCTGATCACTAAGAACCTGCATAGGGTGGTTTCAGGTGCACTTGTCCCTTGATAAGTCCACTCGTCGACTGTGCACCCTGTAGATAACACAAAAATGTATTGCACGTGAAAATGGAATTGTAAAAAAAATTCAGCTCTCTAAGGACTGAGAATTACTTCAAGAAGAAAATCTTGCTTTTTGAATCACTTGGCAAATCATTAACCTGGCAAACAAAAATCCAGGTCTATAAGCACAGTAATAAACATACTAAGTCAGGGTATTAACTCACCTAATCATTGTCATTCTTATGAAGGACACATTCAATAGCATAGCATTCTCATCTTTCTATAGAAAGTAATGTACATTTCACTTAACACTGTGTGACATTCTCATGAAATCTACCCTAACCAACTCAATTTGTGGAGTACCTTGAAAGTACAAATTATTTCATCCATTGTAAGGCAAGACCCACAAGTATAGTCCTTAACTGATGAAATTGTCAGCATTTCAGACCAACAGAGAACAATGATCTGGTGAGTACAGGTAGATCTTCCCACAATCCTATTCTAAAAATAATGCTGTCTGAGAAATGGCTCAATCTCTCTGTGGATAGACCATTCAAACAGATACAAAACTGAAAAGCAAGACTGTGGTTCTACTAGTAGGAAATGAACTGTCTTGAAAGTTGAAAAGCTCTTAGAACTGTTTATGTAATCTGTGCATAGTTTAACTGCACGTTTCCTATACATTCTATCTTGATTTTTCATATTTTAAGTACTGCTGAGAAAAACGTCACACATTCTGGATGTCCACAGAGCTGTGTCAGCTTGCATCAGCTCCGAATCTAGGCCGCCTTTCTCACAGCTGTCTTCTGTGTTTGGAAGAATACTTCTGTGCACTGCTGTTTCTTGTCTTAACATTTTTGCAGCTGCTGCTTGGCTGATCCCAAACATATTTGTTGCTATGACTTTTTCAGATAACTTAAAAAAAATTGCTCTAGAATAAGAGACTGGAGATCAGTTATAAAAGAAGTTTCCCAAACTGCTTATCATGTCAGCCTCTCCTGCTGGCCCGCAGAGCCACCTGCTGCAGTACTGGATTTACATGTTTGATTTTTGTGCTCAGACCCAAAGAACAGGCACTTGCTTCAGATCCATGTCAGTGTTTCCCTGATTCTCATTTATGATTTCTTTCTACCAAATGATGAACCCAACAAAAAAAAAGTCACAGTGATGACCTGCAGCAGTCTCTGCCAGTGCTCCTGCACAAGGCACTAAAGTATCCTGCAAAGGATCCATGTCAAGGTCCTCTCATTTTCTAAGGCCACATACTGAACAGCAGTGAGAAAGCCCTAAGACACCTCAGTTCTCAGTGATATTGAACTCACAAATGGTCTCTTACATAGAGAAAAAGATATTCCCCTGAGTATCTTTGTTAGACCAATGCCTAATAACATTCCTTGCTGAAATTCTGAGAGCTATAAAAGTCCCAGTTATCATCCCCAGAACACAAAAGGATACAATAAATGTTTGTGTAGAAGGGAAGCTACATTTCTGTTCTGCTAAAGGAATTAGGGTGAAGCATGGAGTGAAATCAGACATTGAGAAGCAAGTACTCTTTCATACACCTTAACAAGTCTTCTGGAGAGTATATAGCATCTGGATGGGCACAAAGTGCTTCTTATGTACAGTAATTCTTTAAACCCATATATACAAGAAAAGAATGTACATTTAAATACAGAACAGTATAAACAACCACAAAGAAAGCTGGGAAGACTGATGACAGTCAACTGTAAAATGTTTGATTTTTTTTTTTTTCATTTCCAGAGCATATATGAACAGTATCTTACTGTAAAATGTTTTAATATTAATCAATCAGAAGACATTCAGCACAGACTATGGACATAAACTGCAGAAGAGCCAGTCCCAGTGATCATGTTCTGTCTCATTTTGTTATAACAAAGATAATGTTTTGCATTTAGTCTTAGTCCTAAAGAAATTTCTAGTTTGTTCTTTTTTCATTTAAGTTGATAGTCCTAGTAAGTGATTAGGAAATAGAAATTATGAGCGAAGACTTACTGGACAACTAAACATATGTGAAATTCCTTTGATAGACACCTGTTGGTCTCTTACTTGCACCAACAGGACTTACACAGAAACTTAACAGTGCTTGAATAGTAAGAGAGGGGAAGTATGATGAGTACAACTTCATTGGCAAAACACAGAAGAGCCTCTAGCAACAAATGCCTTGTGATGGTAGCACACAGATATAAATATAACCTAGGAAAAACAATATTTTAAAAAATTCAGGCATACAATTTATGGAAAGTTCTTTCTGAAAAAAAAAAAAAAGAAAAAAACACCCAGTAATTTTTACATTTCTCCTGCACTCTCACCCACAAAAATGCTTTTTGAAGAGTACAATCCTCTTTGATCTCCATATTTGTGCAGAGGCAGAACATTAAGGTATAGCTGGGTATAAGAGGAATGAGCAAGGAATTCATTTTACTGGATCACATTCCTATTTAGTAAAAAATCCATGATCTTAATCCCCATACGAAATACAACCATATCTACCTTTCCCCTGGTTCACAGTAAAAATCATGGATTGCTCTCCAAAGTAATCATCAACTCTCAATAGTTATCTCCAAACCCAGAGATCAATGAGGAGTTTTCAGTCATCAGCAAGCAGTAGTTGAAAGCATCTACAGTGGGAAAACATAGACCACCAGCATAGATGCTCCTATGCATCATGTTAGGATTGGATAAAGCTCTCTTTCTTTGGCTTGGGTCAAATATGAAGGCTTAGCATTAACATCCAGATAAACTGGATGGAGTCCATAAGCATCCTAGATTTATTAGTGTCCCTACTAAATAGATGAATTGGGTCTGATCTCTTAGAGAGGGATGAAAATAAAATCCAGTGCTTTTTGTAGTCTCAAGCACTTTGCAGATTTAGCCAAAGATGAAGATCTCGTTTTTAGAAATGCTGGGAATTATTCACTCCATTAACTGTTGCCCTTGAGGAATTTAGCTAGAAGGTGTTTATTTAAATAAATATCCCTGTTCAACAACTGTATAAATGAAACCCTCATTAATCAGTGGAGACTATTTCCAGGTTTCTGATCCAGGAACCAGCACCGTGGCATTGTTCCTGACAGCTGTCTGCACATCATGTGTGGATAGCATACTGGAGAATCATTTCAGAAAATGTTAGAGCATTTTAAAAAGTTTTCTCTAGTGGACAATTCTTAAAATGTCTGAGCTGTGTCTAACCTGACATTTAATGACTATCACAGGAGGAACTCCTTCTCCAAACAAATGGGAAAGAAAGCAGAAAAAAAAAAACTTGGATGGTTCTGTTCACAGCATTTCAGTCATACTCCAGCATCTGAAGAAAGCAAGCATCATCTAAGACATAATTACAGTCCCATGAAAAAAGCTTTCTTATGGGAAAGAAAATGACCTGTAACTCCTGACCTGGGAACTATTTTAGGTGTTTGGTTGTACATTCCGAACTAACTTGGAACAAGAACTAACGGAAACGCATCCCTGCCAGCCAAGAGAAGAATTCATGTAATCAGCTCAGTGCTCATCAAAAGCTCAGAAGTACAGAACGAAGTGGACTCCCCACAGAGGCAGTAGCATGCATGCTCTGCAGGCTTGTCCACTGTGTTAGCCTTTACCATTTCCTGTTAAGGGATTTCAGACCATGCCTGTGCTACAAGCCGGGGCTGAGATCATGGTGCTGAGCCGTGCTTAACATTCCTGCATGAACATGAGAATTGATCTTTATGTTCAATACCAGTTGCTTTTTACCATCCTCTCATTTGCCTGACACATCTTTTAGACTGAACTAACACTCTGATGTTGGTGTTGTTATGCAGGTATGGATTGATGCAGCTACTCAGATATTTTACTCCTTAGGAGCTGGGTTTGGTGTTTTAATTGCATTTGCCAGTTACAATAAGTTTGACAACAACTGTTACAGGTAAGACAAGCTATTCTTTCTTTACTGCTTCAGAATAATGCTCTTTTATTCGTTAAATGCAGCAGGAATAAATGCTAATCTTCAGTCATTAATGATGGTCGGACTTGTGTAGACGTAGCAACCAACTCAAAACTTGAAACAGTCTTACTGAAATTTTAGCAACAGGAACCTGCCAAGATATCTGCAGCACTGCAGAACAGAATGGGATTAGAGTTAAGACTTGAGACAGCTGTGTAAACTGTGCTTGTGTTTGCCTTTCAGACGTACCATTAAGAGCAACAGTGAACAGAGGATTAAGGCTTATTGGTCCAGGCACTAAAAGCAGAAGGACTCCAATTTCTAGAACTGTTTTAGTGTTGTGTGATTGTTTCGATATTTTATGTCGTGCTCCAATTTAGGAATGTACTTTAAATCAAGTCAGCTTTTAAGTGTTTCACTGAATCACCGCCACGGAAATCCAACCAAAGCTGTTCTGCACCTCCTAAGAACTCCCAGCATTTATAAGTTTTGTTAACATTCCATCTTGGAATGAAAACAAGCGTCTTTAAAAAAAAAAATTCCCATGCAGTATAAATGCAGAAAGAACACTTATTATAAATACATTGTGAACTGATGGATAGCAAAAATGTTCCAGTGAAAGGATCACAGAATCATAGAATGGTCTGGGTTGAAAAGTACCTTAAAGGTCATCTAGTTTTCCCGCCCCCCCCTCTCCACTGTGGGCAGGTTTGCCAACCACAAGACCAAGGGTACAAGAGAACATATAGATTTGAACAAATACAGATGGACTGAAACCTAAAAGCATGGAGTACATTCACTGACTTCAAAGAACTATATACTTAACCAGGAGTGACTTTAGATCCCCTTATTGTTTACAGTAGGTGATACTACCAGGTTTGAGAACCCTTCACCTGGAAGGCTAGCCACAGCAATCACCCAAATATCATTTATTGCCTTCTGGAACTGATTTTGCATTAATAATAATGCAAATAATAATAGTTTTATTATTATAGCAAAATAATAGTTTTTTTTCTTATATATTCTCAGGAATTTTGCTCTGAAATGGAAGAAATTCACTTGAAACTATGAAAATACCAGAGACTATATGTGAAATCATATTATTCAGTTCTTAGCTTGCTAGATTTACTTGATAAGACCGGCTTTCACTGTAAGAGAAATTGTCTAGTATTGTCAAAGCATACTAATATTCAGAGGAGAACAAAGTTTGGCATTTGCCACCTATGTTTCCAGGTAGCATAACTGATGAAAGGAAATATTTACTTTCTGCTTATTGAAGCACTGTTTGGCATCACTAATGTTCACAGAGATATTCCCTCTATTCTAAAGGTCACGTGCAGCAGAAGGCTACTTGTCAGCCATCCTACAGGTTAGAGAGGCACCTACATTAGAGACTCATGGCCAGACTGTCCTCAAGCTATGTTTGGTGACAGAGGCTGTTAATACAAAGGAAAACACATGCGTCTATCGTAATACTGTGGCAGATTAAAAAAAATGACAGCTTTGCTACAAGAGCCAATTTGGTTTAAAGGTTAAATATTGTACAAATTGATTTTAAAAGTAGGTTGTGGGTTTGTTTTTTAAATGCCTAGCCAGCTGCATAGATGAAGGGACCTCATTACAACAGATAACTGTCTTTAATCTGAATGCTGGCACAGCTTGCCAAAACTGCACTGGAGTTATCTGAAAATGTTTCTGCGTATCTGGTCACTTGAATTGCTTCTGACTATTTCAAGTATTCCCTAGTGAGGCTCTCTTAGGCTACTCTTCCTATGGTATGGCTACCAGGATGATGAATTTACTCCCCATAATATAGCTTTACTGATTTTCTTTTTTAGCAGAAGTCAGCGTTAAAACAAATTAGGAAACAGAAGTAGGTCATTTCCTGCTGTAGTATGCTGATGTGAGCTTTTGATGTTCGTAACAATTGCATAATTGGGAAGAGTCTTGTGAAACTGCTATCTTTGTAACAATCCCCACCTTAATATTGTTTTCATTTCTACTGGGCTATTTTTCTTTCCATCATTAGGGATGCTTTGCTGACTAGTACCATTAACTGTGTCACAAGCTTCATCTCAGGATTTGCAATTTTTTCCATATTGGGCTACATGGCTCATGAGCACAAAGTTAAAATTGAGGATGTAGCCACTGAAGGTAAGAAGTGAGTTTCACACTACTTTTAATCCTCCTTCTCATCTACCATTTCCTTGCAAATATGCTTATACTTGTTTGAAACAAGAGTTAAATCACCTGGAAGTGACCTGTGTGAAATTACTTGGAACTAAAACTATGTGTAGGTGCCTTGATGAAATGTGAACTGTAAATTGTATTGATTCATCTCAGCTCTGATTCATTGAGGTTTCCTAGCACTTTGCCCCTCACAAGTTCAGCAAACAGATTTCCCACTGTATAGAATCTTGGAGGAATGTTGCTCTTTAACGCTATACGTAAATGTTTCAAGTAGTTCTGGTGAGGTTTGCTGTAGTCTTTTCACTTGTCACCCACGGTTTCATTTCCTACATCTCACTTATCACATCCAAGAATTCTCTTGTCAAACAGCACAGTCTGCATCCACAAGGATCTTTTTCTAATACATAACCGAAAAATAGCCAGCAAGACTGTGAATGCTGTAGAAGATTATTAAAAATGCAAAAAGAATGTAATGGATTTTATCTACAAAACTGTGATGAGTAAAATACTAGTGTACTTTGAATATATTTCTTGCATAATGCAAGTTTTTGTTTTAACAGCTACTCAGAATGTGATGTGGACTGATGTAGGAGTCAACTTAGTCATACCTTATCTCATTAAAATACACACTATTATGAAGTTGAAAGACATATTTTTGTATTACTTCTCTTTTTCATTTCTATTTCAGGAGCTGGTTTAGTTTTCATCCTCTATCCAGAGGCAATTTCAACTCTCTCGGGATCTACATTTTGGGCTGTGGTATTCTTCATCATGCTCCTTACTCTTGGCATTGATAGTTCTGTGAGTATTCTTTCCTTCTAGCCTTGACCAGTCTCCTTTACAGTTACAACAGGAAAAGTATCTACCTTAAACAACCGTTTTGTTGCTTTTCAAATAAACACTGAGTACCCTCCCTGAATCTGCTTTCAGTCACAGCCAACATACCAATGGCATTGCTCCTTGCAGTATATTTAATTAAAGACTCACAATATTGAAAAGGTTTAGGAAGAGATAAAAGTAACTTACAAGCCAAAAAACTAATCACTTCTTTTTTATGACCTTTGAGAAGGGCTGTTCATCAACATTTATTACTATTCTAAGGTATGACCCAACATCACTGTTATGAACAACTACTACTATGAACCTGCAATGAGATTTTGGACTCTACTTGTAAGATACAAGCTGCAGTATGGCATCTAGAAGAGATTTTCACATGTGCTGAATTGCACTCATCTGCTAAAAACAATGCCTGATGCTGGCCTGTTTTATTTATTTTTTCCTAAAAGCAGTAATACAGAATTTCCTGTAAATTTAATCAGAATAATTGTATCAGAATATTTCCACGGCAGTTTGATTTTATTATCTTACTATATAAATTCTAACTAATATAAAATGAAGACTGAGAAATACTGAAACACCTGTTTTAACAGTGAGGAAATAAGAATCAATAACTGGGAATGACAAAATATGCCTCACTTTGCAGATAAATTCAGTATTGAGTTCGACTTCCTGGCTGTTGCTCAACACTGAAGGAGTACATTTGACCTTTCTATAATATGATGGCTTATACTGTACCATGATACTCACAATCACAGAAACTTCAGCCTTACAGAAATTACCCAAGATGCCTGAAATCTACATCCTGATTCAGAAGTTTCAGCCCAGATTATATCTGATTGTGTAGCTTAGTCATTTTTCATGTAGAATCAAGCGTGAAGGATGGAGAGAAAAGATTCAGGTCGATGGAAAGACATGAATGACCAGCACAGAACTGGGAGAAGAAAAAGATCCACATTTAGATCTAAAATAGTTAATTGTGCAACAGTGATAAATTTAAGATAATATCTGGAAACATTTGAGTGACAAAGACGAGGCCTTAGATCACATAGAGGCTGCAATCACATAGAGCTCTTGTGAAGTTAAATAAAACACTATGTGCTTTTAAACTGTGGTCAGACTTTGCTCTTTCTTTCTAGTATATAACTGGAGGAGGAAACAAGGAGCAAGGATGTGCTTGTTAATAGTTTGTTCAGGAGTTTTCTTAATCACCATTACTAAAGAAAACTCAGATCATGCAGTATCAGTATCTTTTACCGTGGTCTTTTCAACTCCCTCCCTGATCAAGTACCTTGAGGGGAAAATTAAAAATTTTGAAGATAAAAATTAAAGAATCCAAAAGCTGTAGTTGAATAATTATATTCAAACACTTTTATAGGCATATAAACCTGCACTGGCACAGAAATATAAGCCATCTGTACAAAAACGGAACTGTCAAAATGTTTAAGCAAAGAGAAATCTGATCATGCAGGTTTTAGCAAGCAACAGTGAAAGGAGAAGAAATGGAACAAATGTTTGCAAACACTTTTTGTAGAATGTATCTAGCTTGACATGGGAGATTAACAAATGGAATAAACAGTGACACATTAAGAATTGGTCCTTGGCCAAAATAATACAAACCATCTTTTTCCACTTCAACTTTTCCACTGTCATTAAAGCATCAACACAGTAACAAGTTCTAAGCACATCAAATAATACCTCCTCTTAACTGCACAACACTCACTGATGCCCCCAGAGATTAGGAAGCACAAACCCACACTGGGTTTTGCAACACTTTTTGTGAACATAAATTGTTTTTGGAAAAAACTTCACTACCCCCAGCGACTTGGCTGACTGGAATCATCCATGTGCTAGAGAGACAACTCTGCTACTATTTGAATCAGAGATGCTGATTTCACCACATTATTACCAAAAGAATCTTAAGGAAAGCAGCGGATTGTGTCAATACATCTTAACTCCTATATTGCATAAAGCACTCCAGTGTTTGCCATGATCTTTTCACATCAGAAAACACAGAGCATCCAGCCTCCTCAAAAAACGATGAAGTATTAAATAAATGCATCATGACAGAAAACAGGAATTAATTTCCCCATAGCTTCTTTGTGAAGAAGGGGCAGAATTCTTTTCTTAGTGGAAAGAAAATTCACAGCTACTTATATAACACAGCAATTGCAACGAAAACTTGGAAAGATATTTCCTACATTGAAAAAAAAAAGCTAATGTTCAGAATTGACTTCTAGGAAACAAGATTTCATACTGTCAACAGAAAAATAAGATCAAGCTTCTTCTATAGTGAGCCTTCCAGGCCTGCGGGTTGGAGATTCATGATCCTTGAGGTCCCTTCCAACCCTGGCAATTCTGTGATTCTTGATTCTGTGAAAACATTTGTCTGACTAGATTTGAATCAATGGCTAAACTCAGTCTGTATTCAGTGCCTTTTTCCAGGGTGATTGTGAACTGTTATCTTTCTCTTTATACAAATAAATCCCTTAAGTAATTTAACTTAAGATAAAACTTCTTCCCAAATATTATTAAAGGAATACTATTTTTCCCAAAGTTCCATTTTGCTATCTTATTATCCTGGTGGAGAGAGCAAATGGTCAGCAGAGGGAAATCAAGCCAGCAAGCTTGATGCTCAATTCCTTCACTCAGTTCTCTACCAAAAGACAATAGATTCTACCTCAGAACACCAGTGATATACATCTGAAATGTCAGAAATTGTACAGTGGTTGGGAATTCATTCATACAGTCTTTGATCCATGCATAGAACTTGTCGGTACTGTTTAACCAGAGCTTCTGCCTTCCCTTCCTAGATGGGTGGAATGGAGGCTGTCATCACTGGCCTGGCGGATGATTTCCATATTCTGAAGCAGCACAGAAAGCTCTTCACCTTTGGTGTTTCATTTGGCACTTTCCTTCTTGCCCTTTTTTGCATCACCAATGTAAGTATAACAACAGTTTCCATTGCAAGCTACCTCAAAAATAGGGTTAACCTCACCAGATGGAAATAGAAAGAAAGGTTCAGGTGATTGTAATCTGGTTATAGACAAATTTCAATTCTTAAACAACTTCATAGCCGGAGTATTACTATTAGCCTTACCTACATGATTATTCTCTGCTCTTTTTAGATAAGATTATTAGCTATCAACTAGACCTACAAGCCTCTGTTCCAAGGAAACATCCTAGTGTTATGTGGGGTTTTAAATGGAATTGAGTTGAGCAATTAGTTCCAATCCGAGGAATTAAGGATTTCAAGTGACCAGTCCATCAGATATTTGATTATTGGATTTTTGGTTTTGTTTTGTTGTTTTTTTTTGTTTTTGTTTTTTAGCAAATAAGAAGAATTTAGTTCACATAAGAGGAGTTTGGAGCAATGATCTCCTTAGCCTCATGTGTTTCTTAATGTTTCCCAACCTAAACTCTTACACTTAACACCATACAAATCATACAGATAGTTTACTGGATGTTCAGGATAAGCTATGGTTTTCACCACCATTACTCTGAGGTTTTTTTCTCTTGAATGCTTTGCTTCACCAGGCTTTGGGCAATGTACTAGGTTGGATGTCCTTCAGTGAGAGAACCTTCTGATTTTTGCCAAAAAAAGAAAAACATTCTGTAAGCAAGATGTCAAGACTACCAGAAAACAAGTGAGATGTGAGGCAGCCACAGTGAAAAGAGATGTGCTGAACCTCTCTCACTTCCTGGAAACAGTCTCCAGATCAATCTGTTAGAACTGTTGAGATGGCATTAATGTATAACGAACAAAGATCTATTTACACTAAAAAATACCCCAACATTTCTAACCTTATTATATCTGTCCTTTTACTATTGTGCTACCTCTATTGTTACCTAAACACTTGATTGCATTCTTCTTCATCCTAAATTGCAACTGAGAAGAAACTTCTTTTCAGTATAAACTCAGTGGCTGAAAAAACAGACAGGTGCCAACAGGTGCATTCCCACTGCTTTCAAGCAGGCTAAAGCAGCTCAAGATGACGATCTGTTCTAGCTGTCAAATTATGACACCTGCTTGGAATTAAGATCTCTCCACCAGATGGAATGCACTAAGCTGCCCAGGCTTGCCCAAATGCAATGGTGTGCATAATTGAAGACTATTTCTAATGTGTACAAGCTACTGAGAAAAACCCTTACGATAACATCACGTTGTTTGATTACATCCTCTGAAAATTTGAGGCTGTATCTTCAAAACATGTTTCTAACAAAGCCATTATTCACTTTGCTAAGCTTTGATAGCAAAGGCATTCATTTAGAGCAAGTGTAGAACAAAAACAAGAGGTCAAACTGAAATGCCATTGAATAAACATTTTCTAACACAACAATCAAAGTTCATTCAGTTTCCTGATATCCCCACAGAATTAAAAACCTAGACAAGGCCTAAGTACTGTTTTCTCTATTCTTGCAAATATGCACAGCTGTTCTGGAAAACCATGAAAAAATAAAACTGATTGACTCCACAGATTAAAATTATCTAGAAATCTCTACAGTACAAAATTTATACCATTGGGAAAAACAGACAATTATACTTTTGTTCCCCTCAATTCTGAACAGGTGTAGGCAAGTTAAATTTGATTGTGAAAGAAAGACTTTAATAAAAATATACCATGAAATGAAAACTTTCAGTAGTTTCTATTTGATAAAGTATATTCAGTTGAATACTGAATCCTGTTGAAACAAGTAAACATGCCATGCTTTTCCATTCCTCTTCAGCTCAACTTCCACAAAATGAGCTGTAATTTGCACAGATTTGTACCAGTTTGTAGATCAAGAAAAAAAGTTGTCAAATTGCATCTTCAAAATTAAAAATAAAATCAATGGAATAAGAGTTTAGTAATTGCCATTGCAGTTCTCGGCCACAAGCCACTGAAGAACCAAACCATTCTGCAGTACAGGAAGATGAGCTAGGCTGCTCTCCCCACCGGGAGGGGAGCTTGCCAGTTGAATTGCAAGGAAATCACACGGCTCAAAGCTGCTCCCACAGGCGTAGCATGCAACTGCTCCCTTCACAGGTGTTCTGGAAAAGAGATATCAATCTAACACAGTAGATTCACTGGACTACCGCCCTTGGGAACAAAGTTTGCAATTATACCTTGTGGAAACTTGCAGCACTCCATTCCTGCCCATAATTTCAGAAGATTTTCATTAGGGGCTTAGATAGTCCCTGTCCTACAAACTGCTGAACATTCCCTCAAACTCAACTCAAATACCACAAAAAATGCAGTGTTGAGCACTCTTTAATCGTGCTGTATGAGGCTTCTCTTTCAGCAAAAACACAGGTGAAAGGGCACTTCATTAAGAAGGTTTCAAGTCTGATTTCACTATGCTGTATGTACATATGCACCCACGTCTGCAGTAACAGTACTAAAATGCTTGGGTTAAGAGATTTTAAGTAGAGCAGATTTCTGTTGACTTGTTACTGAAGTACTGAAATGACTCCACTTGTAACTTTTACAAGTTTATTGCATCTTTTAACTCCCCCATGCTAGGGTGGAATTTATGTGCTCACGCTTCTGGACACATTTGCAGCTGGGACTTCAATATTGTTTGCTGTTTTAATGGAGGCGATTGGAGTTTCCTGGTTTTATGGTAAGAAATTAATTTTACTGTCAGCAGCACTGTAAATATTTTGGAAATGTGATGTAGAGGAACCCCTCCTTCTTTGGATGGGTAAGATAAATATATTTAGTAACGCAGTATTAATCACAAACTTGTCATGAGCTCAATAACCCATCTAAGACTGAAAATCTTGTATCATACCTAAGTCAACTTATTTCAACAGTCCAAACTATCAGCTATAGATAAAATTTCTTGATGCTAGATTGAGTTTCCTAAACTGTTATTTTTCCTCCTTTTTTCACTCAGTGAAGTCTCTACTGAACTAGCTGCCCTGATTCCTAGTAAGCTTGTTCAAGACCTGAAAGTCGTATTTATTTCTGTTCAGAGACAATGTTTATAGTTAATGACTCAGATCTCAGCATGATCATCCTTACTGCCATTTACCTCCTGCAATTACTGATCTATCTCACCTATACTACACCACCATATTCTTCTAGTCATTCTCTTACAGTTAAAAGTTGTTGACGTGTGCATGAAGCATTCATGTCTAAAGCTGTTCAACTAAAGCTTAAAAGCTTTTTCTTCAGTACAAGTACTGACTTTGTCACCCAGAATCACTGTGGAGCTAGCAGTTCTTACACTGTTTACTCAAAATACATGAGGACACAAGCAACTGTTTCTGCCCTTATAAAAAGAGCTGAATGCAGAAGAGTTAACTTAGCTTGGAACAGACAAATAATAACTTTTACTAATCTAACAATATTGTTATCTGCCACTCTCAAACTAGAATTTATTGTGTTTTACAATAGCTAGGCTTTGGATGTGATTCCCAGGCTAAACCAAGCTTAGCCAGGCTTTGTGTAAACCTTGCAACTTCTGCCCTTCATCATCCTTTCCCTTCTCCCTCCTGCCTCCCCCATAATCAAGAAAGCATTTATTCCTTTGTCTTAAGCAGCTGACAGATGCTTTTACTGACACAATATGACCTGTTGCTTTATAACAAAGAACTCTTTGCAGCCCCAGGTCCTATTTAAAAGACTTTGACTGATTAAATCTGGCATGGCCTCATCTACCTCTTTTTCCTGATAGACCCCAGTTGCCTGGATGACCCAGCAGAACATTAAGCCAGCCTGAAGGCAAGCACTGACATTTTGGCAGAAATAAAAATGTGGAAAATCTTACATTAAGTTCAAATTATTACTGTGCTTGCTTACTGTGAAATTTCTTGCAAAATACACCTGAATGCATAAGGGAGAAAGGAAAGCAAGTTCGTTTTAATATAAGGAGATGGGTTAGTTGTAACTGTTACCATTTTTCTTCTTGTGCAACCCTGATATCATCATAGATTCTAAACTAATTCAAAATTCCTTTTTTCTTACTACTTTCTTATTTCAGTGTAAGTTCACTTGATTTTTTTAATTCATTTAAATCAAATATATGACATTCAAGGCATTTTTACTAATTTTTACCTTCCAAATGAAAAATAATAATCCAGGCTTATGAAAGAACACTACATAGGAATACAGAATTAAACAAGACAGAAGCAGTAAATGCAACATAGAATAAGTGCTTGTAAAGCTCCAATCAGCTGTTGAAGCTATTTTACCACTTCCTGGAAAAATGCCAATAAAATATTTCAGCTGTGGCCACTGAGAAATTTCACCTCAGAGCCAAGGACCTGCTCAAGGGCTCCTGTGTAATTCACATTCCTTTGCCTGTACAGCAAAATGACTTACAGAGCTCTGTCACACGGCCACTGCAGAAGGCACTGGCAATGCGTCGACTTCAATTCTCTCTGTACTCTGATCTCTGCATCATCAGTGGAAAAAAAAAGAATGCTGTCCCATTATTAAGTGGATAATTTGCATTTATAGCCAAATCTGTTTCCTACTTTCTTGCTCACCATTCTTCCATGTTGATTCCATTGGCAATACACACACAGAGAGCAGGTCAAATTTTCTGTACTGTTTAACAGAAGGTTGCAGTAGAGACATTCCCAAGCAACTGCAAAGTTTATTAGTTCAGAAATAACACTTACATTCCCTTTGGATTTAGTGTATTTAGTCACGAGGCTGGTCATACGCTGTATGTATATCTTTCTTGTTTTTCACTGGAAAATCAGGGAGATTATTTTCATACCTCAAACCAGTTCTCTGGCAACCAATCTGGAGTTTTGTTTGCAGTATCAGTTTCCTCCTGTGGCTGAAAGAGTCACTCATAGTTTAGGTTTATTCTTCTGAGTTATCCTACAGAATCACAAAACAACTGGAAATGATCAAGCCCTACAGGTAGATAAAGCTATTTTCCACCTCACAGGTTGGTTCTTAGAATCTTTGAAGACCTACGATACTGAAAAAGCACGCTGTTGAAAAAGCAGCCTGAGAATAGGGCCTACTTATACCCCACTTTCAGTAAACATTGGACAGAAAATACTGTTTGAACTGTGAGTACATCTCTCCGGAATCTAAAAAACATTTATTCATAGGTTATCTAGTTCTAGTATTTGACCTTCTATTCAACAATAAATTTCAACTCTTAGTATCTGGAGCAGTTGAAATTCAGTCACTTTAAAGTTCACAGAAAGCACTGCAAATAGAATCAGATTGAGTTCAAAGAGCATTTGCAGATCCTTTCTTAAATTTGACTACTTTCCTTCACCTGTACGTAATACTGGGAGACAGTGGAAGAGGAGGTTCACAGTGAGATAGAAGTTCAAGAGTCCAGACCTTGCAAATAAATATCCCTTGCTTCAGGTGAAGGGAATACTTGAGCTGCCCTCATTATTTAAGAAACACTACTAAACTTATCCACGCAAAGAGAAACTATTATTAACAGCAAACAATACACTATCTCTATCAAATGAAGAGCCACTCACAAAAAGCATGTTCTATTTCTACAGTACTAAAGTGTTTATACGTATAATTCATAACACTTACTGTAAATCTGTAAAGGAATTAGGAAACTCTGAGTGAAATGTCTTTACTTCCTTCCTGAGGACTCATCAGTTCCACAACAGTAAGTAACTTAGGGTAGCATACTTGTATTTTACTTTGTCCTGAGTAGAATGAATTATTTCAGTGTGAATTGCCTGCCTAAATGGTGTTTCTGAATGAGTCTACAAGGTCAAGTGATCTTTCTTCCTGTGTTGGCTGCAAGAGATTTTCTACTGCAGCTATTTACAGTGTACTCATATTTGTTCAAAAAAGGGCTTCCCTTTACCATTGTTGCAGCTGTTAACACTCAGACTGTCAGAAATACTAAGTACGTATATATGCACCAGCAGACATCAGAAATCTCAGACTATATGGATTCAAGGAAAAGCTGGCACTTGGCAGCTCTTCTCCCCTCTCACCAGTGCATCACAGTTGCTGAAAATATTATTTTGGCAACTCCATTTCCCTGCATTTATGATGCAGTGAATCCCACTGCAGGTAGATACACAGTTGTGAATGGAGTGGTATTACAGATTCTTGCTAGCAAGTCTTGTGCACTACTTCATGCATGATAAATACACTGAGTCTTGTATGGAGATAATATCAAGAGCTGCTGGTTTATTCTGTACATATTTACACTGAATAGAAGAAGCACCTGTCCAGTTCTTTGGAAAGGTAATAAAAAATGAAATGACATTTGTCATTATGTAATTAAAATTCTGTGGTATTTAATAAAACACTGAAAAGTTAGTAAAGCATGCCACTAACCAGAATTAACATAACTTCCTTTGAAAAATTATGAATCACAAATCTACTTCAATGTCAGAATGTAGTTTGTGTAATATATGTACTCACAAGACTGCTAAATAATTAGGTTACAATAGTCCACAACTATTACAAAAAAGTATGAAGTCCATAAATCAAGTGCCAGATGTTTGTTAAGCTTATCTTTCCAATGGTAATGCTATTTGTAACAGACTAAGTGCTCACAGGTACTTAGTTCTTGGATAAAAGTAGGCTGCTCTGAAAGTAATGCCTCCTGTTTATTTCCATAGAAACTACAACAGATACAAAGAGCATAATAACTTCACTTCTCAGCTACAAAACACTATTTTTCAGGATAGTCACCACTGTAGCCAGTTTGCATGGATGAGCTGATCAAGACAATCTTCATTTTGTGGTGGGAAAGCTATGCATGGCCACCCAGAAAATGGCTTATCTTTTATGTTGCAGTCATCACCACTGAAATGCACACCACCTACCACCTCAGGGTGCTCACACCCACTGGTTGGTCTCCATAAACCTTCAGCAAGTGTTGATGAATGTCAATGGAAACCATTGGATACCATTTTTTCTGCACAGAAGAATTCAATAACACTTTTACTTCCCTCACACTTCCATGCTGGAGATGGCATTCTATCAGAGTGCCCCTCTGCTGTAGACAGCGGTCTGTCACACAGCAACAAGTAGTAACAGAATACTAGCAGGAAAGTTCAACCTCTTCTGCCATAGCACCATCATCTCCCATGCTGTTATGGGCCAACATAATATACTAGATGCATCTATTCATTGAAAATAGATCAATTTAGACTTGTACTTTTTTCTCATTTGGAAGTCTTTCTAAAATAAGATTGGTATTTTGGGATAGGCTAACATCTCATCAGTTTGGATTAATGCCAATGTCTGATGTCCACATCCCTTCTAGGTGTAGACAGATTCAGTGAAGATATCCAACAAATGATGGGCTTCAAGCCAGGCCTCTACTGGAGATTGTGTTGGAAGTTTGTTAGCCCTGCTTTTCTATTGGTAAGTGTTGATTGTTATTTCATTATCAAATAAACGCCAGCATGCCTTTCTTAGAATATCCAATAGTTATCAATACCAAGGTGGTTCTTTTACGCCTAACACTCTCAGTGTGAATACAAGTCATTCCAGTTTAATTACTTCTTCCCCTCAATGGCATAGGTTGTATTTTGTACATAACACTTTGCTTGTTAAGGAGAAGCTAATTGTGGCTGTGGCCATCTTCTGTTCCCTCACTTCTTCAAAATGTAAATTAAGCAGGTTTTCTTAAAGAATACTAAAGAAACAGCTAGAAGCACTGTGCTTCCAGCATCTATGGACAATAAAAAACGTTTTTCTGTTGCAAAAGTAAACTAGCCAGGGATAAGAGATTTTACCAGGGCAAAAGGCTGAGCGTATGCAACATAGCTGAAGTCTACAGTGTTGAACTTCCCTTACTACTAAAGCTTTGCATAATTTTATTTCCAAATGATAGGAAAGTGCTTTATCAGAATGTTCAGATTCATCACCCCTCCCCATTCTCATTTCAGCTACTATGCATTTCAATTTAAAACTGCAACCTCCTGTAGCTGGCCTCATTCTTTGAAGCAGGATTAATAGGGTAATCTCAAGAAAGTTCAATGCAGAAGGCCTCAAAACTTTATAAAATGTTTAGTGAAATTGAAAAATAAAACCTTAATGAAGTGACACTATTCTATACCAAATCAAATCAGACTTTTTTGGAAGACACTAATTTAAAAATGTTAAGGAAAACATTAAAACAAATTCACACATAATTAAAGTAACCATTGTCAGCCTTCCCTAATTCCAGTGATAAGATGTTTTGCAGACTCTCCCTGGGGTTCTGTGATTACTGAAACCATGTTCAATCTGCTTTTCCGTAATCTGGCTCTGTTGCTTATTACTGTGCATTTGATCTTCAGCACCAAGGCTCACTCATTCTGATTTTATTAGATGTCAGCATATGTCAAATCTAACTTTTAATTTAATTAATTTAATTAATTTAAACTCTGCCTTTCCAAAAAGAGATACATTGGGCAGCAAGTTTGTTTCCAGACACTTAGGTTGATCAGGATTGCAGATCTTTTTCTTAAAGACAATAATACACCCTCCATGTGTTGAATCACCATAGACTCGACTGTATATACTCATTTTCCATCTTGACATCTCGCTACTGCAAATCTTTCACTCCTCCAGGAAAGAAGCATTGTACCAACAGCTTAAAGCCATCTACTAATGATTAGGTATAGCAGTTCAGGAAGATGAAAACATGTCAGAAATTTTTACTTACTACTAGATTTCACTTCTCCCTTTTTCTCAAGTATATATTACATATCCCTTCTTAAGACACAGAAATCAGAGCAACATGCTCAGAAACATTGATTAAAAATCTCTGCATTTGTAATACATCTATTAGAGCACATCTTCCACTGGTAATTTATTTTATTGGAGGGCACCAAGATTCCCACGTGATGGGATAACACCTTAGAATAAGTTGTATGCAATTATACCCATTAGTTATGTTGAGCAGATATATTAATTATATCTTGTAAACCACTTGATCTGTGATGAAACAGTTGTGCTTTTCATTTTGGAAAAAAATATCCTAAAGTGTCAATATATCATTTCTTTGCTCTGTGTAAAGTTTAGATTCAGAACATAACTGGTTTTGTGTTGGGATCATCTGCCATCTGTATTTGTAAGTCAAAACATCAGGGTGAATAGCATAGAAATTCAATCTTGCTATGACTTTAGGAGACTATTAATTGCAAAGAAGCTTCATATTCTTAGAGCGCTGTTATATAAGTTTACAAAAAAACAAACAATATATGTAGTTCATAATAAATTGGAGAAGACTATAAAATCATAAGACTGCAGTATAATTATTCCTTCAATAATTCCGTATTTGCCTACCACAACTTGTCCTTGTTTGCAACAGGTAATGTGCTACAACAGTTTCTAACAATAAATACAGTTCTTCCTAAGAAAGGCAAGTTGATGTCATCCAGATAACTGGTGTGTGGAAACATCTCCTTGAAGCATTTTCTCCATACAAACTGGAAATCTCATAAGGAAATGAGCATTTTTCTAAGAATTTTATACTGTTGGTTTCCTTTAACTCATACATCCCTTGCATAGGCTTTGAAATCCTAGGTTCAAAATTCTATGGTTTGAAACTGGACATGGAAGAGAACGTGCAGGTCCAATAAACCAAATCAAGGAACTCTGTGTATTACACAATCCATATGGATTTAACAAGAAAATAAAATGAAGGAAATAGGGTGGTACCTTAATCTTTCCTTCTCAGCCCTTGTATTGGATAGGGTAGCAGCAGGAGGAAAAGAAACAACAAATGAGATCAAATTGAAAAAAAAAAACCAGGCAAACAAAAACATAAAAATCAAGGTCTTCCAGGCCTTAAGGCTGTATGACGTTTACCTCAGTAAATGAATTTTGCTGGAGTTTACATCATGATTCTAACTGGAAAACAGGTATAGAACTCCTAAGAAAATAAAACCTCTGGGAAGCAGGAAAAGCAAGAGATCCTGAAGAGGGTTTTCTTAATTACAGATTTTTGTTTTTATTCCTTTAAACTAGCTTAAGTGAGGCCATAGTAGACAACAACCCAGTCCTCCCCCTAAAAGGTCCAGTAGTCAGTGTCCAGAGTAGCTGAGATGAACTGTTAATCCCAGCAAATGCAGCAAGAACTTCAGCAGCGTAAGCAGTTAGAGGCACAAAATAAATAGGATGAAGGTAAATGGTGAAGCCAAGTTTAAATACTCCTTAGGGCGCTTGCCTAATCAAACACAAAAACTGTTTTCCACCAAGTTTCTTCATGTCTCAAAGCAATGGTTGATTTTATTTTTTCTCCCCTAGTTTGTTGTAATAGTCAGCATAATAAACTTCAAACCTCTGACCTATGACGACTACACCTTCCCTCTCTGGGCAAATCGCATTGGCTGGGGAATTGCATTATCTTCAATGATACTTGTGCCTGCCTATATTATCTATAAATTTATGAATGTACGTGGGACCTTTAAAGAAGTAAGTGAAATGCTAATAAAATGTCATTAAATGTTGCTCTGAAATGAAATGGCTGGATCTAATGTGACAGTTTGTTTCTCTTGCTTCCCAAACTTATTAGTTATGAGTGACCTTTTGGATTCAGTTTCTGATGCGCAAGGGGTTTTGAGAATTACTGCGTCCTTTCCCTGTTTCTAGATAGCAATTTTTTTTAACAGAAAGCATCATAATTTTTAAAACTGATTTTTGATACATATAATTAACCTGATTGACGAGAAAAAGTACTCTTCATTAACAAAAAATGTACAAACTACTATCTTCATATTCAGCTCTAAGTCATAGTCTTCACATAGTTACAAACTAGACCATGTCCAAGGTATCACTATGCTGTGATGGTGTTACAAACCATTATATGCACAAAGTCAGATCTCTCCTGTCATAGACTCTACATCAGTCTCTAAACACAAATCCGCATGCTGGGAAGGCAAGATGCATCCTCAAAATAGCTCCACATTCAGGAATTACCATTGATCATGTAATAAGCATCCAGCAATAACAGAAATAATCCTTTACTGGATCAGAGCAATAGATTCCACTTCTCCCAGTATTTGTCTTTAACAGCAGCCACTTAGTATTTTAATTCTGTCAGATACGTGCCCTAATCCTATCTTTATTGAAATTGCTTCTATCTTTTGCCAGGAGTTGAATTCATGCAGATATTTTTATTCTTTTCAACATTGATATCAGAATGCTTGGGAAAAAAAAAAAAAAAAACCTTTACATCCAGACCAAGGTGCTGAAACAGATCCAGAAATGAAGGAGCACTTCTAAATCCTATGCTAAAAGGCATTGCTTGTTGTATCATCTAGCCTCTTGGTTCTGTACTTCAGTAAATGAGCCAGGGTACTCAGCAGCAGGATCTTCCACTATGTAAGCCCACTTAAGCCATATGATATGCTGCATGAACTGAACAAAGCAAAACCTATAGGATTAACAATTTGTGACTGTCTTATTAAAAGCAGTAGTATAATAGAAAGACACTTAATTAAAGAAATTCTAATTCTAATATTTTCTTAACAAAGTACAAAGTTTGACAAAATGCAGCCTTAGTAGTGTGAGTTCTGGGGACATATGCCTGCAGTACCAGCTTGTTCCTGGTGTTCTTTTCCATATGCACTTGCTAAATATTTGGACTCAGTATTTGCATAAACTTTCTACTCTGTCTTATATTAAATGTTAATATCAGGGGGCTTACAAGAAGCTTGATCTCTCAGTGACTAAGTTAAAGACACATGATGCAGTGATATTAAACATTTAAGTTACGGCTTTAAATAAAGTTCACACTTTCCCATTATAGGTTGGGGTTTACAGACATAATCCCACTTCATATGGCTGACTTTTTTTCCTCTTCTTCCCTCTCTGGTTTAGAGACTAGCTTACTGCATCACACCTGAAAATGAACACCAGCTCGTGGCCCAAGGAAATGTCAGGCAGTTTAAGGTTTGTACTCCTTTCACTGTGCTTTGTCTACTGATACCGACTCCTTCTCTCCTTAAGCAGCAACTACAGGTTTGCATAAGCCTCCTCGTGGCAGATGCCCACAGGTCTGTGGTCTTTTATTTCTGCCAGCATGATGGGATGCAGGAGGCTCAGTTCTCTGTGCACCATTGCTGTTTGGAGGTTTTTGGCACCCTTCTTCCACTCCAGAAGGAAATAGCTAAGCAGAATTGATAACGTTACAGATCACTCCAATCCAGTATTCTAGATCATATCTGAATACAGCAAAATCTCACCACAAGATGAATATATTAGCAGACTATAACATGTAATTGAATAGGTCACATCCTCTCCCCCAGGTATTACACAACAATCTGAAATCATATTTTCTAATCTCCATCAGAGATTATCAGAGAATAAAGATAAAAAAGCAACCAAACATCCATTGTCAGAACACAGACCTAATGGCCACAAAATAATGGTCTAAACTACATGGAATGGACTGCCCACAGGTCTGCATTTGATTGAAAACACAGCTGGACACTTCTTAAGGAGCCATGAAATACATCCTAATCTCCAAATACTGCTTTCCTTTTAGTAAATAAAATGACCTTATTGAAATATAGTTCTTTTCATAGAAGATAAAAAGGATGCAAATATGAAACTTGTTACTGTTATCAGCATTCATGTTGAACCACTTTCTGGCTTCAAAGTTGAAAGCAACTACAATTATGCACACTACCTCAAAACATGACCCAGATATTATAGTGGGGGTTTGTACACTGATATTGAAAAAAGAAATCTGCCTTTTGCCTGCTCTGAAAAAAATATTGAAAAAATACTGTTTGAAGTATATTTTTGAATTTCAGAAAAAGAAAATCCAAGTGTAGATTCAGAGTACAGAAAAAGAAAAAAAGTTTCCTGTTTTGTGAGTGTGGTTTATATGATTGTGCAGTAAACATCACCTCTTCATTACTTCTCATTCCTCCATTCCTGCCCTCAGTTATTCAAAGATTCTTCATGTTTCAGCTGTAATAACATCATTTTATCAAATGTCCCTATATGGATAGGGATATAGGTAATGATTGCTACACTATACTTCTGTCTGTAACAGCAAAAAGGAAGCAAACAGATTTTGCTTAGATTAGAAAAATATACTTTGAAGCAAATCCCTAGTGATCCCTCAAAGTATGTCAAAGACCAAGGCATGTTATATTAACTTGTTGGTGCCTCCACTATACAGCTAAGAATGTTTTATTGCTGAAGTGTTACTGCTTGTTCAGAGTCGTGTGCATAACAATGACCAACCAAAAAGTACAAAAGTTTTCTTCACATCAGCATTCAGCAGGTCTGAATTCTCAAACCAAGCTGAAAGCTTATCCTATTTATCCCAATTGAAGAGCTTTTAAGTGCAGCACATTTCTTACTGCTGACTGGAATCCACAGAAACCTATCAGAAGATTTAAGACTTCTTTGTGATTCTATATTTGTCAACAACCTACTTAGAATATCTTTAACTAGCATCACTTGAATCAATGTTATTAAACAATTATTTATGTTCCCTTGCAGCTTCAACACTGGCTAACAATATGACAACCAACAGGTTGAGGAAAAAAAAAACAATATGTTAAAGCTAAACTGGGAATACAGAAAAGTCAAGTTCAAAGCTCCCTCAATGATGCTTGGACCAGGCTGGCTCAGAGCTTACCTACTGACTCTTTGAGGGAAGACATCTACTCTCTGTTCTCAATGCCTCCCTTCTATTACTTGGCTTCAAATGATCTTTAAAGACTTCGTTTATTTTTTTCTTATATCTTTTGGTGCCATGAGATCCCTACGTGACCAAAACTTGTGAGTTTTGCTATTAGCAGAAGTGGAGAAGGGGGGAGTAGAGAAAAAAAAGCAATCACCGTACATTAAATGCTCTTTTATCATGAAGAAGCGAATTCAACTTTTCTGACAGTAATAATTACTTCAGATACTCATGCCACAACCTGATTTAAACCAAGAACTGAATGTTCTTAGATCTAAGAAAGGGTACATCTCAGTTGTGAGGAAGGAGCAACTTTACCTATGTATTTATGTCATTAGCTATCTTGCCATGCTATCCTTTGGGATATGAGTTTGCATCCTTCTGAAATGAAGACTCAGTACTTCATTTTCAGTGGTTTGTTATTAATTTCTTCTCTTGGTGAAGAAGGTTGTCTTTACTGTATACGTCTGTGCCATTTTCTGTCCATTTAATCCTACAGGCTGAGAAGTAACAGGAACAGAACCCTTGTTGGAGCTACTAAGTACAGAATCCAGTCTAATATCACACTGTACTTAGTGAAAATATATTACAACAATTAAAATGGCTTTATCATATGATCCATACTTTACTGACTTTTTCAGTTAATTGTAAAACGTTTCATACAAATAGTCATACATTCAACTTCTTGTTTTACTTTGTGTCAAATAAAGTACCGTACATAAAATACATAGAGCTAACAATTTTTAGATTATTTAAATCTACCCAGAAGCACCAAAATACCAAACTTTAGTTTTATTCTTCTATTGTAAGCAAACTATTATTATTATACTCTTACAGGATTCACCTACCAAAACATAGCAAGATTGTACTGAACAGCTTAGAAGGATAAGTCTATTCCTGCTCTTCTCTGGTAGCATTATGCAAGCTAGAAGATACAGAATAAAACTCTGCATTTGGGTGCTCTTCTCATTCTGTGACACATACCACTGTAGCATTTTCCCAGTGATCAGTAGAGGTGGTAGCTCAGTTACTTCCTGTAGTTATTTATTACTCGATAAGCTTTTTCAGAAGCTGTAGCTTCTCAACTGAATCCAGCCTGGAGTTTACCTCTGGACCTTACCTCTCTTTTTTTTTTTTTTTGCCTCTGTATATTCAGTTCAGCTTCCTTTCTCTAAATGTATGTAGTGCTTCTTTTTAAAGAGATTGCTTTAAAGGATGGAGCTTTCTTTCTTCTTTATTTATAAAGCAATTGTTGGGGGTTTCTGTGTTTTTTTTTTCCTCCCCTATTTTTAAAATAGTCCAATTTAAAAGCTCCATGCGATTTTAGCCTTTATTTAGCTTTGATTTCAAAATAACAGCAAGAAAACTTCTCTCCTTATTCATCCTTTTCCTCCAACAGAATCAACACTTGGACAGAATCAAGCATGATCTCCTCTTAAAGAGATTGTGTGACAAAGCAGAGGTTTTATTTAAATATGGCTTTGAATCCAAAGGACACTGTCTACTACTTATAAAGGCAGACATTTTCTGGCCCAGCTGATGGCCAACAGTGACTTAAACCACGTTATTAAATATATTTCAATAATAAAGGAGTTTCAAAAGGTTGCTGTTCTAATTACCTGAAAGTCCATACAATGGAATTGTTGATTGCTCCAAAGAACAGGGGGAAAGGAAAAAAACACAATCCACCATTCCACCAGCTTTATAGGTAATCCCTTTTTCATTGTTTGCGAAACTACAGGGAGATCTTTTAATTGTTATAAAGCTTACTTTTCAATACAGCTGCTTCAGTTACTGGATCTGCAAGGTTCAGAAATCTTCTAACAAAGTTACCAAGTTATGAAACTCTTGAGGGCTCTTTAATGTGGAGCTTTAGAAGCTAGTCACATTATTTAGGTTTTGCTCACGTCTCTAAATGCTAACAATCTGCACCAAAGCTCACTTGTAAGACACCCCACTACCACTCACACAGAAAGTGTTTCATCACTACTTGGCTCTGAAATAGGTCAAATTTATTTAAGAGGGAGTGAAATAAGCTGCATCCAGCATTTCAGGGTTTGACTGCATTTTAGATACCAACTTCCAAGGTAGTGATCCACTTCATTATTTTTATTGCTGTTATTGTTTAACTTCTTAAGTTTACTGTAATACTTAGAGCACAGGACTCCACTACACCATTGCCACCTCATTCCGAAGTTTGACAGACAAAGCTTATCATCTAAACAGAAAACAGGGAAATCAGAGAGTAAGAAATCTATTACCAGGAATAGCGCTAATGAAAAACATAGTTCATGATGCATTGCACAGCTAGGCTTTAAGTTCAAGATTTTGTCCAGAGGAAGTCTCTCCAAAATGAGAATTCTGTCTTAGAGACAGAGAACAACGTTCTCTATTCCCATAGAATGAGATGCTCAACTACCTCATGCCTCCTTGATGATAAACGATGCCAATAGAAACAAACTAATATCCTTTCAAGTAATAAAAAAGCTTTGAGAAGACTAGGTATATAAAAACAGGCAAAACTCGTACTCAGCTTCTTTCAGACTCCAGCTTTGAGCTCCCTAATACATTTTCAATACTGAAAATATCAAATGCCACTAAGATACTCATTTTCATTTAGTTCAGTCACTGTCAATAAGAAGATTCCCCAGTCAGGTTCTTATTACCCAGGTAGTTACTCACCTGTAAGTCTTCCTCCAAGGAAGTCTTGGATTTTCAGCCAAGCAGTAGCTCACTATTTCCCCATTTACTGTGGGAGCAGACCCACTCTGGGACTGGTGCTCTCACAAACATCCCCATGCAATGACAAGTTACACTAATGAAGTAAACAGCCCACTTCCAAAAAATAAAGTTTTGGTTGCAAGCTCATTCAAGATGCAATGTCATCAACAGTTGGTTGTTTTGGTAACAAGCCCACGGGGAAAATTGGATGAAGCATACGAATGGATAGTTCAACAGTTCTAGAAAAACAGTCTTGAAAGCTTTGTTTTAATCCAATAAAGGCAGCAGCTGTCATACATCAGCATCTCATTTCTGACAAACCCTCCTTTCTTCCCTGTCACTGAAAAAGACCTGCCTGAAATCCACGTTGTTTTATTAAGTCTTAAAGTTAACTAACCAAAAAAATATCCTCCATTTTACCTTGTACTTCTGCTGTCATCCAGCAGGACAATCTTTCATACAGTTGTTACTTTTCTGTAGTTAAAATACTAAAACTTCAGGGTTTTAGAATCTAGTAAAAAGATGGTAGGTCCTTCATGGGCAACAGCCCATAAACCAATAGTTGTATTTTGTGTTTGGTCTCTGAACCAAAGCTTTTTTTTTTTTTGTCAGTCTTTGTGTTCTCTCACATGCTGATGCATACACCCTGGCAACACTTGAAAGATATCTTACCATAGTGAGGGATTTTGCAGGAAATCCAGGATCAAACATAACATTTTAAATATAGAATGTAGGAGGAGAAATACTTGGCTGTTACTGTTGTACATGTTCCCTAACTGCACGTGCAACGTATGTTGTATGTAATTTTTCCAGAGGAAGTTCCCTATAATTGGCCGTTTCTTCCTAGCAAAATAACTTTTAAACACTATTATTAAATAAGTCAAGCTCAAACATCTTGTGTGTATACACACTCTTCTAGTCTATTGTTTTGACATGAATTAAGTTTACTTTAGACTGTTAGATTGTAGGAAGAGGACACGTAGAAAGTCATTTTTCTTTTAATGCCTATTTTACAGTTCTTATAATTAATACAATAGTCATTAAGATACTTGCTTTTTTTGGAGCTGGTAGCTTTTATTTTTGTCCTGGACTGATTCTGCTAAGTTTCATGAGGCATTGGCAAACAATCTCTCTCCTAACATCAAATTTAAACCATAAATCAGGGACTTCAAAAGAAATGAGACTTACAAATGTCTTATTTGCTTTGTACAGTTAAAATATTTTAAATGGGCCTGAGGTACCCAGTCATGAACAACTATCACAGCTCCAATAACAGCATATAGTCTACCTGAAGGAATTATATCTGCGTTTTGAGCCCCTCAGAACAGTAAAATATATCTATTCTAATACATTTCATTTTCTCATGGGCTAAGAATACTCTGTCCACAGCTTAGCTGATGTGCCAGAACTTGATCTCCCTGTATTAAAGGCCACCATGTTTCAGGTTGGTACCATGAAAAACACATTTGGTTAAAGTATCAGGATACAGTTACTTTAGAAACACTTTCAGATGCTTTTCTCAGAAAGAAAAAGCATCACCAAGTTTCAGAGAGCATCAGAGAAGGAAAAGATTGCATCTTAAAGATCCACTTCAAATGTTTCTGCTCTATGGAAAAGGGTTCCTTTTGTTCAACCATTTCAGACCTTGTGACAGACTGGAATGGGAGAAAACACCAAGCACTTGCTTCACTCTACTCCACATTCTTGATTTTTGCCAGCCATCAGGCAAGGGTGCTCAAAATGACCAAGTAAGCATGCACACGTTCTTTATCTCTGATTAAAAATACAGTTGTTTGGTTTTGACTGCTTAAGTTTACCCAGGGAACAACAAGACCTGTATGCCACGTCACATGAAGAGAAACTGCTACCAAGACAAAATGTTTCACATTTTGTACATTGTTCATAACAAAAATTACAGAAGTCCAAGAGCTGGTGATTTGTACAGCAGTACTGTATGCTGCCTGAGAACAAATTTAGTCATCTACACGCATCAGATATTGACCACTATCAAGATAGATGTGCCAACCAGCAAATAAATATCACCAGCTGCTTTTTATGGCAGAATTTTATCACTTTTCCTTTGCCATCTAAGACCTGAATATATTTAGACAGCTTTCATCCACTATGGCTGACCT